GTGTTGAAGTCTCCTATTATATATGTATTTTCTTTAATGTCTGTTTTCAAAGCTGACAGTAGTTGTGTAATATATTTTGGTGCTCCTTTGTTTTGGTAGACGAGTGTTGTACCTTCTTAATATATTGTCCCTTTGATCATAATGTAGTTCCTGCCTGTCTCTTTTGATATTTTTTAATTTGAAGTCTATTTCATCTAAGTATAGCTGTCCCTGTCTTCTTTTTTGGTCCATTTACTTGTAGGATTGTTTTCCAACCATTTTATTTTTAATCTATGTTTATCTTTTGTGGAAAGTGTTTACCACATCAAGCCTAGTACTGTTAGGCTAAAACTTCAACAAGGTATTGATGCTGTGGCTTTTGCTCAGCTTGTTCCCGCCCTATGTATTTAGTCAGTTCCTACAGATCTTGGAATCCCCGCCTTCCAACTATTAGGTAGTTCGTGGTTTTGTTTTTATCCACTAGGTGGCGCCAGAGACTTCTCCTCTAGGAGCATTGTGCTTTTTCCTGTACTCTCCCAGTGTGGTGCATGCAGTTGTGTGGGTCCCACACCCCAAATTTTGTGCCCAGGTTCTCAGTTCCGTAGCTCCCAGATCTGGAATATGGGAAGTAGCCATAAGTTAGGGTGCATTCTGCACCTGGATCCTGAGGCTAAGCACTGGGTTTTTGATTACCCAGTGTGGGTCTTTCACCTTGATGGTGACTCCAACCTTCCCCACTGTCCTCTTTCATGAGAAGTGGCCATCCACAGGTACTTTCTACATGCACTACCTGCTGGCCTTTAGTTGTTTGTGAATCTGGTTCTTTCTCTACTATAGGTGTGGCCCTTGGAGTCTACTGGCACTGGGTTTTGGATTCCAAGTGCTGGTGCCTCTCACTCACCTTGGTAGCAGTTCCCACACACTTTCTCAAAGATAGCAGGACGTGGTGATGCCTGTAGTAATTCCTATCCACGCGTTATTCTGCTTGGTCTCTCATTTGTTCTTGATTTTTCTCCTTTCTGTTCTTTGAAGTGTGGGGCTCTGTGGTGGTGAAGGGTATAAGTGTTCTGAAGCTTTCTTCTCTTCTCACCCCCTTTTTTGTTGCAACTTTCCTCTGCTGGTGTATTGCCAGCATCTCTCTGTTCATCTTACATGTTTCAGTGCTTGCAGGGACCTGCAGCTTTTGCTCCCAATCTATTGTTCTTATGGGAGAACTTACTTTTCTGCCATGTAGATCAGTTGACCATACTTGACTGTTTTATTTTTCTTTAATTGTTGTTCATTTCTGTAATTGTTTTGTTTCCCCTTAGGTGTGGCCTGTATAGTTATCCCATCACCATATCGCCATTGACACATCACAATATTCACTTGTGCTCTTCCCTCCCGTTTTGCTCCCCTTCCCTTGCTGTCTAGCTCAGACCTATGATCATCATGCAAGTTTTGTCTTTTTCTTGATCTTTTGTTTGGTTTCTATATATTCTGCAAGTAAATGAAATCATTCAATATTAATCTTTTTCTTACTGACATATTTTGGTGGCTGTCTTATTTAAGCTGTCTTACTGTCATCAAGATTCATCCAAATTATAACATGAGTCAGTATTCCCTTTCTTTAGGGCTGAGTACTCTCTCATAATGTGTATACACCATTTTTTCCCCATTCATCTATTGCTGTGCACCTTCAGGCTATTGTGAATAATACTGTTATATGCATGAGTTCTTGTTTTCAATTCTTTGGAAGATATAGAAAAAGATTAAGTCCTAAGACCATATGGTAATGCCATTTTATTTTAAACTAGAAAGCATGGAGTTTGATACACTCAAAATATAATTAAGGGAAACTTCCTTTAATAAAGCTTCCCATGTCTTCCTGATTTTTTTTTATTATGACATGGATCTACTTTCTAGAGTAGATTTGATTTTGAAATTCAAATGTAATATATGGATCAGGAAATATTTTTATAAATTATGCAATACGTAATAAGTATTTCTATTACCTGTGCAACTATAAAAATAATTATCACCAAAATTATTATACTTACTCCTCCTTATTATTGAATAAGATAAAATTTTTCTACTAGCACTTATATAATATTGAATTTCCTGGGTTACAGTTTTATCAGAACATACCATAGCTAAATTTACAGAGATCCCAAAAGTTCTGGCATATGGTAATTTGTAACTGTGTTGTTGTGAGAATTAAGTTGAGGTACTTTATAAGTACCTTGCATAAATGGTGAGGGTGTGATGAGTGTAGAGGTAAGAGTTACTCAATGACCTTGCTGACCACCCAACACCCACATATCAACCAGGACATTTTCCAAGACCTGGAAAATGTCAGTGTGCTATTGATTCTCTACATATAAACATATCTCTGAGGGAAAAAAAAAAAACATATATTTGAGAAAAATTATTTCTTACCATATTTAAATGGGTTTTAGAATCTCACTTAGCTGTTAGTCAGAAACTAAATGTATATTTAAACTATATTGTTTCTTGTGCATGCCTCCCACCAGTGCATCTGTTACACTTATCCTATAGTAGATGATAAAATTGTAAAATCTATTTACAAATTTCACTGAAAAAACAGGGTAAGTTAGGTTATATTCCTAACTTAACTAAAATAAATTCCCCTTGGATCAGAAAATGAGAAAAAATCAATAGAAAAAGAAGGGTTTTTTTTTAATTGTTATATTTAATCTTGTGGTAAGAAATACTGCTGATGCTATGACATAAACTTATAAAAAAAAAAGACATTGATATATACAATCAAAATTTCTTGTTGAAATGCATGACAAAAATATGCCATAAACAAAGTAAAAATTGCATATTAATATATCATAATGCATAACATAAGTCAAAAGCAATTTCCTTCAATATAGAAATGGCTTCCACCAATCAATAAGAAACACTCAACAACACAATAGAAAATGAGCAAGGAATATAAATAATAGTTTCCCAAAACTAAATACTAAACCTCATTTACAATTAAAAACAAACAAACAAACAAACAAACAAAAACAGTAGATTACCTTCCTTTTTGCTGGAAGAACAATCTTTCAAATATTTGCCAAATGACCAACACAAACAGAAAGCAGAAAGACAGATACTATCTGTTCTGTAGGCATTCTAGAAAACAGAATTTTGTCTTGGGCCACAAACATGCAAATCTACCAAAAATAAAGTTGGTAGTGTAAACATCAAGAGAATGAACATTTCAAGAAAATTATTCACAAATAAATGCCCTACAAAGCAAACAGATTAAGGGCAAGGTTCTTTCAAGAGAATTAATGTACATACTGACTGTATAAAGCATTCTATGATCTAAGAAATTCTTTATCAAACATGTGAAGGAAAATGATTAGAAAAAGAAAGAAGCCAAAGAGAAATGTACTTGCTTTTAACTGAAGCATCTGTCTGCTGTATCCTGAGAAGCACATTTTGTGAGTCAATGGGAAAAAGACTAAATTATTGAACTCCATTCCCTATGAATTCATGACATAATTGGTATAAAAAAATACAATGAAATTGTTTCAGGGAAAACCCAGGGGGAAATGGGTGTGTGCCCTCACTCACATATTTAAGAACATAGAACAAGACACAAAAGCAGACACTCAGAGGTAAAAAAGAAATTTATAGGTTTATTTATGAGAGGAATAAAAAAGGGAAGAAAGAAAATGGGTAGGGTGAGGGTAGTTTGGTCAACACATCCTACCAGTAAAGCCATCTGACCTGCAAAACCAGGATGCAAGTCAAAAGGCAGAAAAACAAGAGAGACCAAACCCTGATGTATTTAGTTATATACCAAAACATGGCTACTTAACTCCCCCTCCTATGTCCCTGCAACCTTCCCAATCAGGAAGTAAAGTTTATGGCATTCTGGGAGTTGTAATCATCTGCCCCTGAGATCTCTCTAACCTGAAGGTCAGGGTGATGTGCTTAATAAACATGTAGTACTGTTCATTCAGGGCATCATTCATGGGCTTAGAATTTGCTTCTTCTGTCTCCCAACAAAATGTCCCCTGGACTATTAAAAAAAAAAAATCAATTAAGGCCCTCACTGGTGGCGCAGTGGGTTAAAGCACAGCACTAAAAAGCTAAAAGCCATTTCAGCATGAGTTCAATCCCGCCCGGGAGGTGATCCACATGGCGCAGCAAACCTCTCCTGACCCGCCCACTGCTCCCCTCTGCAGTGTACTTCATCATTCGGCCTTTTCTACTCCCCACTCCTCTTTGGTGAATCCTCTCACCACCCGTGCATCTCTGGCCTATACTCCAGTTCTGTATGCATAAATATATAAAGATTTTTAAAAATCAATTAAAGCTATCATGAAATACCACCTTCCCTTCTTAGACTTCCCTTTCTGAGTCAGAAATGTATTCTATTTTGAAGATGGTATAGAGAAAAAGGAACAGATGTGTAGTTTGATTCACTATAGAATGCACCTTCATGATATCTATCCATAATTTAATTCAACAGTCACATCTAAAAATATTTCCTACAGATATTTTCACACCAAATTGAAATAACCAATATACTGAGATCTTCAATGCAGCATAGAGGATAATTGGCAAAGATCTGAAACAACCAAAATGCCCAGGAGTGAAAGAATTGACTAAATGAATTATGAATTGACTAATAAATCACACAATGGTGAGTGTGAGAGTGGGCTATTTAGCTGGTAGAGAGTATAAGATGCCTGGTACATCAATTTACATATAAATCATAAACAATAAGTGAAGCATTACTACAACAGCAAGTAAAGAATCAGACAAATCAAAATGTTTCTTGTTTATAAAACAGAGAGTACATTTCTTTCAAGATGCTTAAGTATCTGCTTAACATAAACAGAATCTTTTATGCAACTTCCAGAAAAAAGATAAATGTAGTTCTTCATAGGAAGTTATGATGCTGAACCCATGTGAAGGGAGCCTTTGGCATATAGTTCCTCTTCTTAAAATTGATGTCATACTGGAAGCTAAGTGAACTGACATGAATCACAATCTTTCTATTTTTCTCTAAGGTAACAGAAAGGGAGTTAAAATCTGGAGGAGCCAACACCCAGGTCACAGAGAAGAATAAGAAAGAGTACATCGAGAGGATGGTGAAATGGCGGGTAGAACGTGGTGTGGTACAGCAGACTGAGGCTCTGGTGCGGGGTTTCTATGAGGTGAGGCCCAGGTCTGGCTGAGGAAAACAGGGTGTGAGTTGCAAGCCAGTGGCCTTCATCTCTGGACATAGCCTGTAAGATAGGAGAGAACAAGGACCAAGGCAGACAGAAAGCTCATTTCCATTCACCAGAGTGCAAAATAGCTACTTAAATTGTATAGATAAGATGGAGAGGGAGTCAGAGTTTTCTGGAAACCAAGTATTTGTGGGAGGTGAAAAATGCTCTCACAGATTTCATGTTTGTATGGACCTGGTGTGCCAGAAGTGAGAACACCCATCATCTCCTATCAAGATATATGCAGGTGGTATTTCTTAATATTCAAAAAATAAGAGTATGCTATCCACTCTTTTTAGATTTTTATTTCATTGCAGTGTCATTTTGTGCCACATAATCCATTTTAGGGTGGTAAATCAAGAGGACAGGGGAAACTGCTAGTCTTTCTGTACACAAAGGTTGACATCCTTAAATTTTTCCAGTTTAGAAATAATATAGGGCAGGAGAGAGACTAAATTGGCCAAGGTCCCTCTGCCCAAATACTTTACTGGTTCCTGTCTGGGTTCTTTACCAGAAGACACAATTGCAAGACACCTCAGGCTTACCAAATAACAACAAAAAGATTGTTTTAAAAATCAGTATATAGGGCCCTTCCTGGTGGTGTAGTGGATTAAAGCACAGCCCTAAGAATCTAATGCCATTTCAGCATGAGTTTGACTCCCGCCCCGGAGGTGATCCACATGGTGCAGCAGGCCTCTTCTGACCTGCCCACTGCTCCCCTCAGCAGTATATTTCATCAATCTGCCTGTTCTGCTCCTTACTCTGTCCCTTGTGAATCCTCTCACTTCCCCTGCACCTCTGACCTGTACCCCAGTTCTGTATGTATAATTAAATAATTCTTTTTTAAAAAATCAGGATAAACAACAGTTACTGAGGCCAATAATAGCTATTTGCTTTATATGTCTAGTACTGTCCAGTGCTGCACAAAGACCAAGACATCTTCCCACCACTGAGGCTATGTCACTCCTCTCCTGAACATAGGCCACATGTCTAGGATGGCGTTTTCCTGCCACCGTGGACATGCAGCAGCCAAACTATAGACCAGGATCCGAACCACAAACACAGCAATGGATACAGCAGGAGATGCTCCTTGGGCTCCCCAAATGCCCCAGCACAGCACCAAATAAGCGATACTCAAGACCACATCTGTATTGGCCCAAATGACCCAACAAATGGCCACACTCATGCAACCAGAGATGCTTGTCTCTGGGTCTCCTGACTTCTCCAAGCCACGATTCAACAAGATGCTTGTTCTCCAGGCCATGCTTTGGCAAAACGCCTGTTTTGTTTGGGTCTCCCTTTCTTCTCCAGACCTAACAAAACTTTTCCAAAATGACTAATTGGACAAGACCACACACGATGACCTCTTCCATGTGGTCCACACACACAAATCCCAGCTCTGCAAAAACTTTATAGAGGTCAGTGTGGGGCCCAACACCGCAATCATGATGCTGCCCTGCTGTGACCACCACTCAGCCTCTTCTACCGGGGTCTGTGTGGAGATCCTACTCTCATGTGTATATGCACTGCTTCTTCTATTGCATGCACAGAGCTCCCTTATATACTTCTTCAGTTGCTTCAACCTGCCTTAGTATTCTCCTGGGGTGCTCGATTTTCTACCAGCAACATCCTCCAGGGAACATAACCATTTATGGTCTTCAGCTACCAGTATCACTCCCACTTTTAGTTTATGTCACCATACCTATGGTGAATATTGGACCAACTCTCTCCATTGGCATAATTACAAGTAACATTAATTAGCACAATGGCACAGCTGCTAGTATCAGTTTGATTGGAGGAGGTATCATGATAGATATGTACTTGTATATGACATATTTGGTAAGCAGATGTAAATTCTGTTAAGAACCATAACAACACAGCTCCTCACATGTCTTCAAGTGGAGAAAGTAAATGTGGGGATTAAAGAAGGAAAATGTAGTCATTTTATTATGTTCATTTCTTGGAAATGAGTCAAAATTTTTCATAGAAAATAAGGATACTTTTTAAATGACACTATACTATTATCTATTAAGTGACTTCAAAGTGTCTTGGCCTTATAACAACTAATATGCAATGATATTTGTAAACTTAAATGTAGCCTTAGAGAAAACTGAGACAGATTGAGTCACATCATCTGAAAGGGAATATCAGAGGTAGCAGAAAGCAAAGGATCTTTTTTCAGTTCCTAGCTCATGAATGTGTTGTGCTTCAAATATTTTGTCATGACTTTGAACTTGAACATGGGAAAAAGGTTGCAAATGATGGTCAGTTTCCCAGCTAAACCCCACAGAAATAACTATAAGGACTATAACTTTTAGGTGTTGTTGGACCTGTGTGATGAAATGTACACTTTATTTCAGGTTGTGGATTCTAGACTTGTGTCTGTTTTCGATGCCAGAGAGCTGGAGTTGGTGATAGCTGGCACAGCAGAAATTGACTTAAATGATTGGCGGAACAATACAGAGTACCGGGGAGGTAAGCAAGCAGGCCTTTTGATGATACAACTATCACAGATACAGTTTATCGCTTAATCATTTTTATTAAGGTAGACTTTACCTAATAAATTAACTTATTTTTTATTTTATAACAGTTTATTTT